TCATTACGTATGCTCCGGGAAGTATAATTAGAAGGTACAGTCTCGGTGGACGACGAGGTAAGTGGCTCGTTTGCGTAGACACAGCTGGCTTTCCGTTTTCGACAGCGTGAGCATGTGGGTGTGCGTAGATCGCAGCTCAATTTCGATCTCGCACAAGCATCGCACGATCTCCTGAGCGTCCTACGCATTGTGAGGTACTCTCCGGAGGTTCAGGCATGACCTTTGTCTGTGATGAGGGGATGGAGTGCTGCGCATGCGGGAAGACGCGGGTCGCCCTCGCTTACATTAGCGTCGACAAGGGTTGGTGTGATGGGCTGAGCTCGTGTGCCCGTCATCAACGCCATTCTCCACCATCGGAAAATGAACTCTCTACGTGAGTCAGGCAACGCCTCCTTCTCAAAATCTCTCATTGCCGTGGCCGGTTTGTACTTCGGCAAGTCGCATATTTGTAGCCAGAGCGGTCGTATTTGAACAGCTCCTCACCTTGCAAAGGACTTTGGTTCATCTATGAGCTACTAAGCCGTTCACCTATGCATATTCGGCACTACAAGACAGCGGCGTGACCAGGGCATGGATCTCAGCACATTGCTTACAACATAAAGTTCTTCCCTTATTTCCAAAACACGAGGATGCTCTTTACGCGAGAACACTCTTCGTAGACGCAATTTACACGTCGACCCCAGAGTAGTCAACCGCGACCCCGATCGCCACCCAGTCATATGCACTGCAGATCTGGCCCTTCCAGAAGTCTGACCCTGCTCGTTCTACGATATTGCTGAGGAGCCCAGAATAGCCCGATCGCCCACCAAGATTGCTGTCGTTCTCGTTGGTGGTGCCGGAGACAAGGGTCATAAGACCTGGATCGCGGCTCGCTTAATCTGGGTAAATGCCAATGGTATGTGGTCGAGAGCGGACGGAACGGCTATTGGATATTGGGCATAAAGGGACGACAAAGTGCTATACGGAGTCCATAATTCGTGATTGTCTGGGAGGTATGCAGATCTCGTGGGAAATTCTGATGCGGCATCGGTCTTTTCGAAAACTGTTTCGGTATAAGAGCTCAGGATCGCGCTGGTTTTGAGGAGATGTTTGAGATACGTATTCTAACCTTATACTAAGTCATTAACTTTCGCTCGACACAGAGGCCGCACTTTAGACAACGTTGTAGTCTTGTTACATCTGGCATCACTCCGCCGCTACCACCAACGATGCGTTCCCTCCTTCCCCTCGTCGTCCTTCCACTCCTAGCCCTCGCGGCCCCACCAACTTCTCCAACAATAACGCGGCTCGTTTTCTCGGGCTCAGGATGTCCTAATGACTCTGGTTCCGTGAAGTCTGACACCGCAACCCTCGGTGACAGCGCCGGCGTCTCCTTCACGCAACTCAAAGGCGACACAACAGATAACTGTGCTGTACACATTCAGTCAGCTGGAGCAAGCGAAGGCTGGCAAGTTGCGGTTCGACAAGTGGACTACGTGGGCGATGTGAATTTGAAGGGAAACAGCGGACTGGATACATATACCCAGGTCTTCTGGAGTGAAAATGCTGGAAATACTGTGAATAGTCATCATATCAAGGCTGAATGGAGAAACGCTGACGATATACAGGGCGTGCTCACAGGTGGTCTCGCATGTGCTGGCCCAGAGATCAAAGACTACATTACTGTGCGGAGCAGCACCGCGGATCTGAAGTGGTCAAAGTGTACTGGCGCAGATGGCAATCCTGGTATCTTGAACGTCAACTTTAGGCCAGTCGTTCAGGGGGACTTTGGTACATATGACTTCAAACATGCTGCGTGGAAGTTGGAATGGCGGAGATGCTAGAGTGGTATGAAGGTCTGCTTTTGAAGGAGACTAGAGAAGCGTGTGTACAACAAAACTCGGTGCATAAAATGGAAACAGAATGTGAATAAGCGCTCTTAAACTTCTTCTTCTACCTCCATGAACAGTAGCCTTTCTGCTCTTGCCCAACTGCGTTGCTAACTACAACCATGCTGAAGCATTCACTAGAACGTACCTAGGTATGCTGCATACGCAGACTAGACAGTGATATCAGCTTGCCGATGACGCTATTACCTCAAGAGAAAATGTGAGCATGGGGAAGTTGAAGTCAGTATCCCCCTCCCCAGTCTCGGTTGGTGCGTCTTCCGCTGAGTGGGCTGATGTAGAGTGGCCTGGGATCAGGTATACCAATACTCGTCGGGTATCACTTCGCGCTCTGCATCGTTGACGTATCTGAGGGGCGCGATATATTCCCCGAGGGACATGGCACGATGTAGACGCCGGCCGGTTGACCAGCTTCTGAAGGACGCGTTGAGCTGGCTAATGCAGGTAAACAGATCGCGAGAACGCAAGGGGCCAGACAGGATTAGATGAACAACCGACGCAGAAGGTTGGAGTTTGAAGCTCAGTGCCGTACGCTTGCTTGTTTTAGGTGCTGCTAAGGGTGGCTGTAGGATGCCAGTAGGAAAGCGCAGGTGGCGCTGCTGTCATCAGGCGGCGTAGCCAGAAGCGCCGCGGTTGCACTTGCCACGACACGCATCGACCCAGGAAGACGATCATAGCAGCCGCGGGTGTTGATGCCAGCCGAGGACACCTGAAGCAAATACGGTAGATGGATGGACTGCAGCGGCGAAGATGGCGTGTGGCTGCGCGCGACACGAACGCGTCTAGCGCGATCTCGGGATGCTCCCGAGGTCGGGGTGAACCAGCCGATCAACGTCAACTTGTCAAGGGCAACGAGGGCTTCATCACTGCCGTCACCCTTCGTACCTAGGTCTCATCCCAACGACACTTGGAAACAAATCCGTGGAGAAGGCACATCATCCTTGTAAGGAGTGCCCATGTACAGCATAGCAGGCAATAATCCACAAGCTCCGCACTAAGCGGAATTCCGCAACTATGCCCAGGTGCCAGTCATTTGTGAACATATGCCTGAGCCTACATAACGCCTCTTGCCGCAACCTGACCGTCGTATACAGCCCTAGCAAGTAAGATATCGGCGAGCAAGGAAGGACGCGTGATAGTGATTTGGGGCCATTATCGCATCAGGCTCCCATACTTTAGAGGCTCTCAGATACCGGTACACAATATCAAATCAAACAGCAAACAGCCTCAAATATGGATCCTCGTACAGTCGGTACGGTATATCACCCGAATCCAAAGCCACCACTAACAAAACACCAAGACTTGTCTGCAGCAGCGCAAGATAGTTTCGCGACCTTTGTCAAGGACGAAGCCTTCTTCGCTCTCAGCTTTTACCTAGCAGGCAACAGCAATATCGAAGCTTGTGCGCCCATCCGCCAGAACCATGCATTTTTCCAACTCGAGCTGAACCAGCTTGAAAGCAGTCTTGATACGTCGAAGCCAGCGTACATTGTTCTCCGCCGCGGTGACTCGCTCACGTTCATCACATACGTGCCATATCGCGCAAAGGACACCGTGCGAGACTTCCTCCTCCATCACAGACACAATGTTGTGAGACAACTTGGCCCATCGCACATCTCAAGCTCGATAATATGTAAAGAGATCGCAGAGATTACAGACGCTCGATCGTGGGCAGAGCGAGATGCCGCTGCTACCCTGATAGACGACATAAGCAATCAAGGCAATAATGTAGAGTCGTGTACGAGCGCCGCGCATGCTGGAGGCGCTCGAAAAGACCTAGGATACAGGAAGAACAAATGCCGCCTTTGCGATCGCCGCATGAAGAACAGAATATCGCCCGAAGCTCTTGCAGCGCTGAAGGTGCTTCAAGGCCCTGGGGCAGCCGTTCAGATCGTAAGACACACATTACAATAGTAGCTTTAAAGCGTGATAGCTGACCCGCCCCAGTCCGTTGACAGCACTACCGAGACCCTCCAGCTGAACTACATGAAGAACGAACTATCTCCGAAAGATGTTGCAGCAACCCTACCAACCGACAAACCTAGTCTCACCTTCTACCGCCACCCCGCCACCCATCTACTCTACTTTATCTTTCACTCGCCCGACCATGCCACAGTGCAACAACGTATGAAGCACACAATGGCCATACCAGGGCTGATCAATGTCCACGCTCAAGACCAGGACGTGCATGTAGACCAGAAGATTGAGATTCATGAACCGGACGACTTGGTCTTTGGAGCCAAAGACGAGCGCATCGGCAGGTTCAGGAGCGTGTATCTGAGGAACGGGTTTGACGGGACGGAGAGCACGTATGATGGTTTAGAAGCCGACAAAGCTTTTTACGACGGGATAAAGTAGCGCATCTTTGATACATGACTTTTGTAAATAACACTCTCATCGTTCATCTACCTTGATTCTACCACACTCGTCTCACTACTTTACCTCGTGAATATACTCCGCTGGCTCGCCTCTTTCAGTTGAGCCTCTACGCTGACCAGCAAAGTTAAAGCCTTCTAGTACACATTGTGCGCACTGTAAGGTGACTGCGGAATTGACAGGAAGGTTTACACCAGCAAAGAGTAGTGGTGTCGAGGAACTGATTAGAAACTTACGCATACGCCCATATGATAAGGAAAGCAACCAAACTTTCCTCCTCGCTGAAATCCATCATCCATATATGACACATATCAGATTTTAAGGAGGCGTATCAGTCTAAAGCGTGTTTCTCATGGCCTATGGTATCGTACAGTACAGTAGATGCGCGAATGCTGCACGAAAAGAAAGACAAAACGCCATCTGCTGAAATGCAAGTTTGTATGCCTTCATCCCAGTATGCAGCGGAGATGATGTGTAGGGGGAAAGAGTAGATAACACCAAGATGACCGCACCGATGCAAAAATATAGACTAGAAAGCGATGAAGTTGGAAATGAAAAGAACACCATGCAGAATGCTACCCCTTGTCTCATAGTCAGGACGGAGAGAAACGTCTTTCCCTCCCAGCACCGATGCAGGAATATGCGAAAGACCTAGTCCTAGATGGATGGACATGTCGTGTGGGGATATCGAAATGACACTACGCGTTTGTGTGCAACAAGGAAGACCCGCTTATGCATCTACATCGTCTTCCTGATACGCCTCCTCTTTCGCCCACTGTCGACTTCTACACTCGTGCTCATCGTATCCCTTGCACTCCGCGGGGTGGAAAACCGCTCACGGATGTGCTCCCGGATGACCTTCTTGGTCTTCTCGCGCTTCAACTGGCGCTCCTCGTCTGGGTCGACGAAGCGATGAACAGTGCGGTGATCGCGTATGCGCTCTTCCTTGTCGTGCTTGCCCTCCTTCTCCGTCTTGGGCCAGGGGAAGCCGTACAGTTTCGAATGGCGCTCGCACCGTGGACATTCTTTACGCGTGTTGTAGCCGTCTTGCTGTACAAAGTCGACGTCGCATGTCTGGCAGTTGACCCACTTGGAGTACTTGGCTGACAGGAGAGCGTTCGATGTCATGTAGTCGCCCGGCTTTCGCGTGTTCTCGACATAGTCGGCTTCGTCTCCCTCTTCAATGGTGATTGGGGTACCAACGCGGTTCTGGACGTCGAAACGAGACTTTGAGCGTGTTGTTCGTAGTGTTGGGCGGGGTTTGCGCTTGACAATCTGCTGGTTCACATCGTCAAACTCGAAGCTCTCAGAAAGTTCGCTGAGATCGGACATGTATGCGTCTTCGTCTGCAGGCGGGGAGGGCCACGGGGCGTTTACCGTTGTCGTAGTGATTTCCTCCTTCACTATCGCCACTCCCATCGCTGGGCAATCTTGTATTGTCGTGGAGTCGACTTGCTCCTTGGGATCGCCGGTGTCGTGCGAGTGATCTTCGTCAATCGAGGTGGCATCTGTAGATGATTGAGTCGACTTGGGTGACGCTGCTGCTATGGACGATTGCGGGGATGCCTCTCGCGACGAGCTGGCCAAGTCCGTATTCACCGTGAGAACACCTTCGCTATGTTCATTGCGGACTTCTTGCGATATCTCTGGCGATGAGACCAAATTGGTCGCTGGATCCTCTATACTCGAAACCGGGAGCTCCTGACGCAGGGACGATGTGCTGTGTGCCTTCTTCAGCGTCGTCTTGCGCAGCAGATTCGATGTGTGCTGCTTGGAAGGCGAAGTCTTCTGCTCAAATCTCGCTCGCTTTGGGGCGGGTGTTGAGTCACGCGAGGGGTCGTCGTCCGTTGAATCTTCCAGCGATCGCTTCTGAGAAATAGAGGCCGCATCGGAAGCGGTTTCGGCGGTCTGATCATGACATGCGCGATCCACCTCTTCATCATTCCCTTCGTCGTTGTGGACGACTCGCTTCATAGGTGCCCAGCCGTTTTGCTGCAGACTTTCGCAAGTATTACACAAACACTCCTCATTATCGTCGCCAAAGTAGTCCTCGCCGTACGAGACTGTGATTTCTTCTCCTTCTAGAATCGGCTTCACTGCAACAATCTGCATGCCGTCGTAGCCTTTGGTTGTGAGCTTTGCGTTTGCGTCGCAATCGTGATTGGCGAAGCGCGCGGGACCTAGGAACAAGGAGCGCGTCTTCTTGCGGCTTGAAATAACCAGACTAAAGTCCTTGCTCTGCAGCTCTAGAGTTTTCTCTTGCTCTTCAGTCATAGCTACTTGCACGCCGGTCAAGTACTTGATTTCTTCGCGTGGGTTGATATCTCGTCGCGCGGTGATTGAGGCCTCGTGTTCCGTGATAATGTAGCGGTTGGTGGTGGTGACCTCGAATTGGCAGTCGGCCATGTAGATGTTGACGTATCTGCGGAGGTGGCGTTTGAACTGATCCTGATCGCGCTCATCCTTCAGCGTGTTCATGAACCTGCGCAACCCCGGCAGTTGCACCAACTTGTGCACTGCCTCTGCAGGATCCCTCTCCCAGACTACGTGTCGTCGGATAACGTCGGCCACATCCTCCTCGTGCAATCCCCGCGAGCCTGTGAAGCGGCCACCTCTGTTCTTGCGAATCTTGGCCCAGAAGTAGAGTTTGTCCACGAGCGCGTCGGTGATGATGTCGTCGAAAGTGGCGAGCTTGTCCAGCGTCAGTTTCGTCGAGGGCGCCATGGTGGCGCGATGGGATGAATGAGTCCGAACGTGCCCGCGCAATCAGCCGCCGGTCGTGGAGATCGTAGGGAGTCGTAGGGTTTCGCGATTAAGGGGGAGGCTGGCAGGGCTGGCTGACGTTATGGTGGCCAGCAACGACAAGTCATTGACCGTCGCGTACGACAATAGCTACACCACAAACGAAAAGAAAGAGCGTGCAGACGACGCGCGCAAGGGAAGGAGCGAGCGACGGCACGCACGGGGGATCCAGCACTCGCCCAATAGTTTACGGGAGTATGGACTCGACGGAACTAGCCCTGCAGGCTATCAAGACCCGCATGCGGCGCATGGGGTGAAGGGCTAAGCGAGCATCATCGGGGCCCCTGCCCATGTGCGGCTAAACTGCGGTGGCACGAGTCCGGCTTGCGACTTTGACAGCGACCAAGACACACACCCCCGACGTCAATACCACCACGCCGCGCGCATCGAGGCAGGCATTCGAGACCGGGATATCGGGAGAAGAGACACAGGATGATTCAATTAAAGGTGTGCTGCGCCGGTCACGGGCGGCAGAGCAAGGACTGATGGATGCCCTTCTAGACCCTCGTAAATTGCATCGACAACTCGGGCGCCGCCATAGTCGAGTGCGTCAATGTCCTGCGATCGAAGCGCCCCGCGAAAGTTGGTATGTGCGCGAAACTCCAAGGCACGGCACGAAGCTGATGGAAGCAGGCGACCGCATAGTAGTGGTTGTAAAGAAACAGCGAAATTTCGGCCCGGAAACCGGCAACAGCGTCTCCATCAGCGCAGCGAACAAAGTACGGCGAGGCGACGTCCGACACGCAGTTGTGGTACGGACAGCGAAGAAGTGGCAGCGGCCGGATGGCAGCGTGGTCAAGTTCGACGACAACGCCTGCGTACTTATCAACAAGGCCGGAGAGCCCATCGGATCGAGAGTCAGTGGTGTTGTCGCGGCAGAACTGAGGCAGAAGCAGTGGTCCAAGATCCTATCGCTGGCGCCCATGCACGTATAACGGCTGGCATATGGGTGGGATGAAAGATGCATTTTTTGGGAGTCTATGAGCGCTTTGGAATGTAACATTATGTGTATGCCACTACAATTGTACCCATGGGTATCTCAACGGCTGTTCCCTAAACTCCTCGCAGCAAATATGTGAGAGTAAACGCCAGCTACATGCATTCCATGTCGTTGTTCTCTTAGTTATCAGACGGGCGTGAGACGTGACCGCATCCGGCGCACACGTAATAAAGGGCCTGGACCGGTCAGAATGGCTTGCGAACATGGACGAGAAGCTTACCATGCCCGTCTCGGCGGTCCGCTGCTGCGACTGGAAGAAGACGGCTTCGTTCTCGCCGCACTCTGTGCATTGTTTCTGGATGCGCGGTAACTAGACGCAGGCACAGTCAGCGAGCACGCTCAAGAGCAAGCAAGCAACTGTACTGGTGGAAGACGCAGGAGGCGCTTTCAGGACGTGGGTTCGTCCCACATGTCCTCGTCAAAGTCGTCGTCGTAGTCTTCAAACATTTCATCCTCCTCGCGCATCTGCTGCTGGGGGCGCTCGGCTTGCGGGTCCTCGTCCTCGGCCTCGAGGGCAAAGCCAGGAGCCGATTCCTCGCCGCACTCCTGGCACATGATGGGCATGCCGCACATGGTGCAGCAGGGCATCTCCTCAGAGAGAGCGGCCTGGGCAGCTTGGGCATCGGACAGGGAGTAACCAACCGTGGGATCCTGAGCAACCTCGGCTGTGACACCAGCTGTGGCTCCGACTGTGGACGCGATTTCGTGGCGCATGACGCAGGATGAGGGCGCTTCTTCGGTGAAGTTGCATGTGCGGCAGGCGAAAAGCAGCTTGTTCTCGGATTTGTCTTCGCGGGGGAACAGCAGGTTGGAGCTGCGCGAGGTTAGCCAGGCTTCTTGGTTGCAGAAGAGGCGACGCACCATTCTGAGCAGAAGCGGAAGAGAATGGGCTCCTTGCCGCCCTTGGAGCCGCCCATTTGCGCTGCTGGTGAAGCCATGCTGAGTGGACGTGAGGTCGTAAATCGTAAATGTGCGTGTGCGTGTGGATCGTCGTGACGGCTGTTATGCGCGTGTGAAGAGACAAAAGCGTCGAGGAAGCCTGCGCACAAAAGTTGGGTAGGTACAGAGACAGAGTCACGTCGGCGAGCGCGGGCCACTCGTCTTGATTCGCGCGGCTTCCGTTGCTGTAGCAGAGCCGCGTTCTTTGTTTGGCAGGCGCCCCCGCATTATCGACCTTGAGGCGCCGATCGCCCTGTCCACCGCCTGCAATTCTAGACGTCGCTCCACGCTGCACGCACAACTGCCCGTGCGGAGACTCCTATCAACCTCTGCACTGCTCGCCCTCCCCCTACCACAGCCTACCCCGTCCAGCGTCACGCATACATCGCCAGCAACCATGGTAAGCACTGCGCCCGTCGTCCCAACCCACCTCGCACCCCCTCACGCATCCTAGTCGTCCGCCGAAACTGGTCTCCCCGAGGGATGGGAGGTGCGCCGCTCCAACACCAAAAACCTCCCATACTACTTCCACGCCCAGACGAAAGACTCGCGATGGGAGCCACCAGCTGGAACCGATCCGGACAAGCTCAAGGCATACATGGCCGCCAACCACAGCTCCAAGGGCGTTGCGCCCGCAGCCTTCGCGCCGACTGAAGGCAAGATCCGATGTGCCCATCTCCTCGTCAAGCATCGCGACAGCAGGCGTCCGGCTAGTTGGCGGGAGCCCAAGATTACGCGCTCGGTCGAGGACGCCCGGGAGATGATACGGGACTACCAGAAGCAAATACAGGCGTACGAGAGGGGCCAGGAAGACGACACCGCCAAGTCTCTGTCTGAACTCGCGACGACCGAGTCGGACTGCAGTAGCGCTCGCAAGGGGGGCGATCTGTGAGTCTCTGCAGTGGGAGATGCGGCGGGAAACGCTAACGTCATCAGGGGCTTCTTTGGCAAGGGCGACATGCAGAAGGAGTTCGAGCAGGCTGCCTTCGCCCTCAACAAGGGCGAGGTGAGCGATCTGGTCGAGACGGCATCAGGGGTGCACTTGATCCAAAGGTGGGACGAATGCCACAGGTCTCAGTATGATGCTAACCATACGCAATGCAGGTTGGAATAGTCGATGCGTCGCGCCAAAACTAGGGCAAACAAAGCGTCATGTACTGTGATGAGGGGTTTCCTGGGACGCGTGCGGGCTGTGCAGACGCGTCGTGGATACCCGCTCAACACCAAGACAATCATGGTAGTACTAGTAATACTACTATCATGAGACATGCATGTGAAGTCCAGGAGCGGGCGCAGCACGTTGGCCGTGTGTCGTGTGTGGTTGTGGTTGTTGTCTGTCTGCTAACATGATTACGTCCTTTGCAGCTCCCCCTTGGTCGATCCGCGTTGGTTAGGGACCGTACGTCGTTGCACGCGTGCTGACGACAAGCAGACCACAATCGAGAGGGCGATAGAGTTTGTGGGGCCGGAACCAGACGCCTTGAGATAAATTTTTCCCATCGCCCGCACACAGCCCATGGCGGCCAAATTCGCGCCCTGCTACAAAAGCGCGCACCAGGACATCGTCGTCGCATCCCGTCTCGCCGTACCGCTCTGCGCTTGGACAGAGACTTCGGCTAACGCGACTTCCCCCGCCAAAGCCATCGCTGCGCTACTGCAGTGAGTAGGCGCCGGCCTCCAAGTACCTCAGTCAGCTGACGTTCAGACTTGAAACCCGCATACTAAAGCCGTCTGGGAGCAGACCTCGAGCCGTCTCCCACTCACTTCGCCTCGCACTCGCACCGTTTCAGTGCGTGTGGCTGGTTTCGGCATCCCTCAGCCTGCGCCTCGCCCCCAAGCCAGCCCGGTTCCGGATCAGCCCGAGAAGACAAGGAAGCGGCGGCCCAGTGACGTATCATGTAAGTTGGCTGGTTTTATCCTTTTTTTGCATCAGCCCACCTCAGAAGACGGGGAGCAGCACCGTCGGGCGCAGGTTCTAGACATGCCCAGCAAGTTCGTTTTGGGAGCCTGCTGCAGCGCCGTAGTGTGGCGGGCATGCCGTGCAGCGACTGGGCGGCCATCATCCCGAGCGTCTGGGTGTCGTGCCCTAGCACCTTTTGCAAGGTCGGCGCACGCACAACGCTTTTCCCTGCGTCACAGTAGCCCGCAATTCGACTGTCAAGCTCCTGGGCATTTGGCCTCACCAACCACAGCGTTGCCGCCCCTTCACCCTCCCTTCACCACCGCGCCGCTGTGCTTGCACGCCCACCCCGACCGCACCGCCCGTGCAGCTGCTCTCACTGTCCATTGACGTAGCTGCCCCGTCAGACTATATGGGAAAGTCCCGGGGCCGCACTTTCCCATTACCATCAGCTCACGCACCAACGCCGCCCGCAAAGTGCCCGCATACCCCTGCTGACTCCACACGGCGCCCTGTTTACTCCGCTAACACCTTCGATCACCAGCGCTTCCGCGATCTTTCACCCTTCCACCTCCACCACCTCACACAACCTTTTTGTCTAGAAGATTCCCATCGTTCTCTACAAATATCACTCACGCTCCTTTGAGTCTTGACAGCGCCACTCACTGCAGTGCTCCCGCTACCCACTATCCTACTCCACCCTCCACTCTCCTTCGACCAAGACTCCACACAGACCTACTCAACCTACCTCGTTGCCGCTATGGCTGCTCCACTATCTCCCCACCCTGTCTACCACGACCCCATCCCAACATCCCGCCGTAACTCCAGTCGCAAGACCATCTCCTGCCTCTCACGCACTCCCTCCAACGTCGATGCTCCTCGCACTTTCTGCCCCAAGGACGGTGATGCATTCAGCTACGACCCCTCTCACCTCCGCCACTGGTACTGTCCCCAAGAGCTCTGGGACCATCTTCCCAAGCAAGTCCAGTCCTGCCTCGGCGATGTTCAGCATGCGGGTGCCGCTGTTCTGACTGGTAAGTCCAATTACGCCTCAGGCACTTGATATCGTACTAACCGCAAATAGGCTTCGAGCGTCTCGACAAGCACCTCGACAACTTTGACGATAGTCAAGTCGACCCCAGGGCCACTGGAGACGAGCTTCTGGTCCACCTCGACGAGCTTCCGCCTCCAAAATTCCGCACAGTCAGCAACGCCAGCAGCGTCTTCCAGTCTGACACTTCTTCGCCTCTCACCAGCGCATCATCCGCTTCTCAGTCAGGGAGCGCCTCTCCTTCCACTCCAGCCTTCTCTGTTTCTCAGATCATGTGCCCTGGTTCACCCATCTGCTTGGGTCCTTCGGAGCTCTCCCGCTCACGTGAGCGCTCCTTCTCTACGCCGCTTAGATCGCACGACGCCAAGTACGCCGCGGAGCTGTCGCACCTACGTACCGAGGCCCTGCCGCGTCTACGTCACAAGTCTTACAAGGTCGAGACTGAGTGGCAGGAGGCCAAGCGTGTCCCGGGCGCCATATCTGCAGATGACATCAACGCCTTCGAGAATTTCTGGGCCGAGAAGAAGTTGCTGATCCTCAGTCTCAATGAGCGGGGTAAGCGTCTTGCGAGTGCCGCTGGTCTTGCTACCACCGGACTCGGCTGGTGCGCCCCGTAGAGGCTAGTGAGGTGGATCTCCTCGACTTGGTCACTCGAAATGGTTCACTGAGCGCATCAGTTACGCGACATGGCGCAGCACCCCCAGCTACAGCCAGTCGACAACCATGAACTTCTTTTCTTTTTCCATTTCCTTGGAGTCCTGTTTCCTGGTTTCTGCTTCACTTCCTGTGCGTTACAAGCGAGGAGTTGGTCGGTCGGTATTTATTCATGTAGGCATCTACACAGCAGATCGGGAAGATCTACACTTGGAATGGACGTGCGTTCACGATAGATCTCATACACGCCCATGTCTTCACGACGGCGGTCTCACAAGAGATCCATTTTTGCTCATGGCGGCTGCTATGGGGCATTCTGGCGGGTTCAACCCGGCTCATCTTAGGCGTAAGGTCAGCTCAGCTCAAAATAACGAATCATAACATCTACATGACGACTTTGTTTGTGCATATTCCTGCTTATCGGTGATGCGCGTCACTTTCGTCATTGGTCACTTCCGAGGGATGCTGGCTTGATACCCTTATATTGTGATGCCCAACACCGGCCATATCGAGCCACAGGTGCATAAGTTGTGGCTGCCCAACATACACAAGTGAGTTCGACGCCTCTCGCCATCTCCGAGGAAAGCTGACAGGGCGCCCTGATATTGTCGACACGGGTCGTGCCAACTATGAGGTTGGTCATGTCGAGAGACGCAGCCAAGCCAAGGCAAGCGCAAGCCCGATGCTGCACGTTCCTCGGCACCGCAGCCTGCATCTGCCAGCAGCAGCCAACTCAGGCCGCCCCGCCCCTGCCACAGCAACGAGAGGGGGTGTGTCCGCGCCCGCGGATCGACATGTTTCACTACCCAGGTCCCAACCACGCGAAACAGGGCGTTCTGACCGCATTCTGGATCGTCTGTTATGGGCGAAACGTGACGCGCCCTGCTTTAAACTAAAAAGAAGAAGAACAAGACCAAATTTGGGTCCGACGCAACGATTGGTCTGACCAGGCTAATATTGACCGAGACATACACACGTACGTACTATAGTAATGTTTCCGTGCCGTCTCTGCTTTGCTCACACATTGAGGACCAGGTGTTGCACATTCCTAATAAGCATCGTCGTCATCTGTATCAACTCGGGGCTGTTTGCCACGATCCAGACTGCCGTTGTTGTTGTTTATGAGGTTGGCCCTCCTCCCAAGCGGACTGGCACCAAAGTCACGCCTGATCGGGCTATCCCTGTCTTGAACGCCTGGTCTCCTGGTGGTGCCACGCCCTAGAATGCAACAAGATTTAGTGTGCTGTACTGTACGTATCCCAAGAAATATCATGGTGGAATGATGACCATGATGATGATCATGATGAAAGGTGGGTGACGGGGGCTTTTTACTTACCGGCCCGGTCACGGATTCCTCCTGCTCCGCCGCCGCCGCCGCCGCCTTGTTCATGTCGTATGCCTGACGACCGCATCGAAGGTCCTGGTCCGAGATCGAACTCATCAGACGATGTGTCCAAGTGGACTCGTCTACCTCCTCCACCTCGATTGCGTCCACCGCCCATCATCATGCCTCCGCGGCGTCCACTCCCCATGGCTTTGGCGTACATGGCCGCCATCTGATCCATATCCATATCCATGCCCCCATTGCCAAACTGCCTGCCTGCTTTGGCCGCCCCTCGATGCGACAGGAAGGGGTGCCGCATACCTCCATTCTTGCCTAGGAGACCGCCGCCGGCAGATTGCATATACGGATTCCCCATGTTCATGTTTAGCCCCATGTCGTCCATTTCTGACAACATGTCGTTTTCGATGCCCCCTCCCATGCCCATACCCATGCCCATACCACCCATGCCATGATGCATCATACCCCGTTTACCACCCGTCACTGTTGGATCAGCCATGCCAGGTGGCATCCGACCCGTGGTGCCGTATGGATCACCGGACATCATGCCCATCTGCTGTGCCATTCGCGGATCCATATCCATGCCACCACCACCACCGCCGCCGTTGTTCATCATGAAAGCACGCTGGCCCATGTTCGGGCCGCCGAAAGGTTGTCTAGCGGGACTTTCGGAACTGTCACGCTGACGTCGTTGCTGTTGCTGACGACTGTCTTTCCTGAGATCTTGCAACGCTTCCAAGATGTCATCTTTGAGTGTGTCGAACTGGTCTTTGCGCTTCTTGTCCGCTTTCTCATCCGACTTTATCTTCGTCTTCTTCTTTCTCCTTTTACTCTTTTCGTCTTTGCTACTGCTGCTGTCGCTTTCACTGCTGCTCTTTTTGCAGGCTGTGTGATCGCCGCAGTCTCGGCCCAAGTCGGTTTTCAGTATGTATCTGATCTCACCGCTAGTGCGGAGGTGGTCTTGTTCGTCTTCGTTGGAGTCGCTGCCATGGTGCTGGGGATCGTTCTGGGCACGGTATAGTACGCGGTAGCTTTTCCGGCAGTTGCAGCCTGTGGTGCAGGTACAAGCATCAAGCCAGGCGTTGTCGCCCTCGATCCACTCTTTCCCCGATGGTCCAACTTTCTTGTGAAAAGGTTGACCGCGGTTCAGACGGGCTGACGTTCGCGGCTCCGCCCGAGGCCGCCGTGGCTTCTCGGCGTTGGCATACGCGCCCATGGGGATGTGTTCGTAGTGTCTTGGCCTTCTGCCGGAGTGTCGTCGCGTCGCCTGAGGTGGATCAGGAACGCTACTCGATGACTGGCTGGATGGTGGTCCCGGGTGGTTTGTGTACGGGTTCATGCCTGGCCCCAACATACCTCCGCCAGCACCAAAGCGAGGAGGTATTGGTGGATTGGACGTGTATTCCGGCGGCATGCCAGATGGCGGTCTAACTCCCATTCCGCCCGCTCCAGCAGGCCCCATGCCACCGCCCAATCCCTCTAAACCTCTCATGCCACCTAGCCCCGGACTCCCGGGCATGCCCATCGGCATACCGCCCATCATGCCAGGATAGCCACCTACCTGTATTTCAGGCGCAGACCTAGGTCTTGCGTCCATTCCGTCGAAAAGCCCTCCTGGTCCACCTCTTCGGCCCACTCCTGGCATGCGACCTCCCATCATGTTACCTGGGTATTCGTTGGAGGGTTGTCGTCGCATACCCCTTGGGCCTATTCCCTCCATCATGTCGAGTGACGTACTTTCGCTCTCCTCACTGTCTTCCAAGATATCGAGATCTCGCCCTCCTCCGTAGTAAGGTCTTGGTCTTAGGCGTGCTCGCCTGCCCGGTGAACAGGGTGTGTAGATGGGACCGCGTGTGTACGGCTCTGATCGTGATCGTGCGTAAGAAGGTGGGTGGACGGTGAATGCTGTACCTATAGACAAACCGTCAGTACGGTAAGTTTTAAGGTATACTAGGACCCGTGGTAGGTGGCAGGAAGAGAGGGAGGGTTACCAGGTGGAACCAGGACTTTGCCTCCTGGAGCGTTGACTTCAACAAGTGGTGGAGGCGTAGAATGCGATGCACCCATAGCGGTCGCGTTGTACGCACCGATGCAACAGACCGTTGTACTGTGCTGTAAAAGAAGAGTCTTTTCGATGAGCCTCTATTGTTTTGATCGTCGTCGTTCTTCTGCTTTCTACACCGAGTGATACTTTTGCCTTCTATATCGATTTCATTTCAATCTGATCTTCTCCACTGATGACCTTGAAGGTGCAATGGATAATGGCGGGTGAAGAAAGGAGTGTGAAGTGAAGACTGATGTGTACCGCAACCCTGCTAATCCAGCACCTGCTAGCTTGAACCATCTGCTGACATGCCAGCGGTTATTTGTTTGCTGTATCGTGCTCTAACGAGGACACACGAGCGTCGCGTCACGTTACACGACAGCATTCATTGTCGTGTCGCGGTTTGTGCCTTTACGCCAGGCGAGATTCTCAATTGTCCAACATTCTCTCAACGCATGAGAGTGATTTCAGGGCAGTATCGAGAGAGCATTAGAGATCACAGTGGGGTTTACGTATGCGCGTATGTCTTACGGTGCCGTTGTCGGATGTATGAATGAGAGTGCTTCGCTTTTTGTCAAAGCAATGCATCATCATACTTGAGTGGAAAAATTATCACGCCGCGTCCGCGCGACGGAAAGCCCTGGAACACGGGATATCAATAGAGAAGAATGCAATCATGCCGCTCCACAATACGCGCACCAAAGCGAGGGACTGTGGTTGCTGTATCTATTGATGTCCTGCCTGCGTAGAGACGAGGGCCCTGGAGGCAGCGGCAATCACACGATCCCCGCAGCGCATCACGCACAGCACACCCAGCAACAATCATATAATATAAAAAAGTAGACTTTGGAGTCATGTTATGTTCTCATACACCTGATATAACTACTGCTCATACTCAATGCCTCGTCGCTATCAATCATTATGCAGTATCATAAACCCATAGCCGGCAACGCCGAGATGAATACAACGCCTATCCACACCAGACAGTAACAAGAACAGTGATAAGATGTGATACAAAGAAACAGACGCAACAGCACTCCTTCAACGTTTCCGCGGCTTTGTATGCAACAGCGAGAATGTGCCGAAGCGCCGCAGCTCAGCGAGATGGTGTATTCGACTCGGGAAACGGATGCGCAGCACCCGCACCTTTCAGATTTCTCCTCCCCTGTCGCCGTCTCCAAAACCCCAATCTTAGTCGATGAGAGAGAGAAGAGTATTGGCGAAGCTAAAACGCAAAGAAAAGCCAGTAAGTAATTGAACAATCAATGAAAGAGGGTGACTGGTATCAATGATGGAGATGGAAAGAGACACTAGAAAATCATCGATCGAACCTGCTCTCTGCGACCCGGCTTGCTTGACTCTTGCGTTCGCGGCCGTGGCGGCGGCGCATGCGACATGCGAACATCCTTAAGAGGTGGAGTCGGCGCGTGCGATTGAGTGCGGGCGTGGCCCTTTACCGGACTTGAAGGCGTGGACTTGATAGAGCCCAGTATATCGTGCGACTGAGTGCGCTGATGAGAAGGCCGGCGGTTAACGCTCGGTGAGCTCGTGACTATGGGATGCGACTTGGTTGGCGAGATTGGCGCACCAATCTGCGATCGCGTAGCCTTCTCCTTACGCTCCTTCTCGAGGACCATGGCCGCCCAGCCCTTGTTTTGAGCAATGTCCTTGCCAACGGTCTCCGAGAGCACCTTCATCCAGGCCTCTTTCTGTTCCCGACTGTCGGCGTAAAAGTCAATGACCTCACCGTTAGCGAACCGTATGCGGAAGCCCTCTTCAACGAACATATAGCCCTCCTCATCCTCGGCGAACCCGGACTTGCGCCGACCACCGGTCTTGGTTGCGGATGGTTGCTGGAGAGCGCTCTTGTCATCCATGAGCTTCGAAGCTTTGGCTAGGTTGATGGTAGCACGCGGCTGCCGTGTGGACTCGTGGTAAGCCGTAAGCTTCGTGCCTTCCAAGCGGAAGAAACGACGTCGCCAGTACTGCAATGAATGTTAGCCATGTTTACGAATAATGTTGCAGGCTTTCAACTTACTGGACAGTCACCACCCTGTTGGCTCAGTGTACCTTCGAAGCTGATGTCCTTGACTTGCTCAGCCTCCTTGAGCTCGCGAATGCAGGCATTCATGCTTTTGGGCATGTCAGAGTCCTTTGCGTTCTTGGGCTTCGGGACGTATAGCAGCTGAAGAGTGAGCTTGCCCACCCGGTAAGGTGGGCGGCGAACGACACCTCCGCGCTTGCTCTTGACACTGCTGGCGCCAGTATTATCGACAGCCCACTCATTGAAGCAAGGAATGTCAACAGTCAGCGGACGGCCATATGCTTGGTTCTCGTGGTTGTTGAGGCAAACATAGGCACGAGCGAAAGACCCATCAGGTCCGACGAGGTCATGGAGCAGGTCCCAAGCAGTGGCCTTTTGATTGCGCTTGGCAGCAGCTTGAGCCTCCTGCTGTTCCTGTTGAGCAATGCGGTCGGCTTCCTCTTGCGCTTTGCGTTCCTGCTCCTTTCTCTTCTTCGGCGATGAGAGAAGGTTCCGGAAGGCAGAGTGCGACTTCTTGTGGTTGACGGCCTTGGCTGGCGCGGCAACAATCTGAGGGACGGCTGGAGGCTCCAGCTTGGTCTGTAGTGTGAGCTGGAATTCGAGATCATCCATGACGACAAGCTCAAACTCTTGTCCGATGGGAGCGGATTGGCCAAGCTCCAACCAAGACGTTGTAACGCAGTGCAGACCGTTGTCAAGTGTCAACTGGAAGTGGGTTCGCTCGTGCTTTGGTAGCGGAAGATCAAGGTCCTTGACACCGACGACCTTGACGAACACGAGACCGCGTTCCTCGCCCTCTTCAGGCTCACCGTCATCTCCCTGTTCAGCGACTGAGTCTAGACCACCAGCAACAGCAGATTCTTGGCCAGGAAGAGGTGGTGCAGGACCCTCAGAGGTTCGAGTACGGCGACCGGATGCTGTGCGGATGCTCTTCCTGCGAGGCTTGCCATTCCAAGGCTCCTTTGTCCAGGCGGGCTTACGTTCGGCGCTCGTCTTACGAGAGACAGGCTTGGCAGCTGCATCGCTGGTGGGTTCGGTGGGGGTAGGCGGCTTCTCGTCGCTAAACTGTCGACTACTGGCGACAACGACTTTGGTGTTTTCGCGCATCAAGTATCCTTTCTGCTCGGGAATAGCATCGTTAGCGGGACTGTGCCTATAAACAAAGCCTTCACCTGACATCTGGCAGGCCGCGTCGGAGACGGCAGCGGAAGATGTAGGGAATCTGGCGAAGGGGGGAATGGGGAAAAGGTTCTCTACCTTTTGTGACTCAATGATGTTATCAAACTCCTTGTCTAGCCCGAAGCTGAGATCGTTCGACTCGTCACCCAGGTCGAGATCACCGAGCTTCAGAGCTAGCATGCGGTTCTCCTTGGTGGTAATGCTCACTTGCGTATCGTCGTCATCGAAGTGACCTTCTTCGTCGGCATGGCCCAACTCTAGGCTCATTGACTGGCGCTTCGGGCTGCGCTCAGGGACTGGCGGTGCATGCTGGCCACTAACCTGGCGACGCGTAGCTGCCATGTCAACCTCATCAGGGATGAGCGACGGGCGAGTCTTGAGCTTTCCTCCGGCACCCCGGATTGTAGCTTCCCGTTGAGGAACCTCTGGGGCATTTTCCTGAGGCGGAGGGGAAAGAGCCACTGGATGCCGAATGACAGAGTCTGGGGTACCAGGCTCCTCAGACTCGGAACCGTCCTCCTCTGTCTCTTGAGCTTCAGGAGTAACAGGGCGGCGGAGGAAGTCGCGCATGGCATCCAGCTTGGGCGCGGTATCCAATGGACTGGCAACAGTCGCGAAAGAGGCCTTTAGAGGGTCCAAGCTAAGATCCATATCTTTACCTTCGAAAGTAGAGTACATCTCGTCCTGAGGCGCCTGCTTCTCACCTGAGACAGGAGAAGAGGGGGCAACGACGGGTGTTGGTGGACCTGATGAGTCGATAGTACTCTGGGAAGTAGGCTGCTCTTCAGGCTGAGGCGAGTACTGGCTGGTATCGTCTTCGTCGTCTGACTCCTGGGGCATAGGGTGCCGGATGACAGACGACTCGCGCTCGTAGTCCTCGAGTTGAGAGATGGAACTGCCATCTACATCGGTGTCATCGGCATGATCGCCTTCATCTGGGTTGGCATAGCTGTAAGCGTCGACAACGCTGTCGGCCTCGCTGGCGGAGACACCTGAGACCTGACGCGGATGCTCGTCGAAGTTGGAAGAAGCTTCACGCGACGGAATAGGAACATCAGGGTCGAGGTCAGCGAGATCGCCATAGCTGCGCTCGGGGCTATACTCTGGCTCGAACTGGCTGTACTCTTCCTCTTCCTCATCGTCGTCCTCACCGTCCTCGAAGTTGCGGCTCTTGACGCGCCGGAGGATGGACTCGCGAGAAATGCGCGGGATCTTGGGCTCGTCAAGCGTTAGCTCGGACTCTGTAACGTCGACTTCTGCAACGTCAACTTCG